TTTTTTTTTTTTTTTTTTTTTTTTTTTTCATAAACTGGATCAAAATTCTTCTTCATGTTTACCATGGAGAGTTTTACAGAAATATGGCTGCACTCTGGGAGTGCTTACTCACAGTTTATTTGCTTTTTTTAAAAAGGAGATTATTCTAAAACATAAACTTATTTGCATATATTGGAGGAGCATCCACTACCAGTATTTCTGTGCTTTATAAACTATATTAGAGGGACTGGGCTTAATACAAAAGATATAGGGTAGAAAATAAGAGCTATACTTACAAGAGTCAATAGATCACTGACTTCTCTTTGCTGTCATGAGCTGTGTCACACCCATCTGTCTGTATTTCATGCCACGTCTGCTATTCATTCCTGTTAATCCAGGCATTTCTCTCCTTATTCCATGGAAATTTAGGAATGACTCATGCCTTTCAATATTAAATGCCACAAAAGAGTTAAGGTTGCCCACCCCAATTTGCCTTTCCATATTTTGGATTTGTTTGTTTGTGTGGTTAAATTTTTGTTTTGGTTTTTTGAGCCATGGTCTCCTTGTAGCCCCAGCTGGCCTGGAATTTGCTGTGTATACCAAACTGGCCTTCATCATAAAGAAATCTGACTGTCCCTGCCTCCCAAGTGCTGAGATTAAAGGTGTGGACCTCCACACCCAGCTTGAATTTCTGTATTTTGTTCTTCAAAATAATATATTTTAGACTCATTGCCAAGTTTCTGCAAATGAGGTCACTGTGTGACCCTCTAGGTGTCCCCATTATTAATTTAACAGGTTCATTGAGTGAGTCCTGGGATTTTTTTTATCTACTTGCCTCAGTATATTCTGTTATCCACAAATACTTTGGCTGCCAAAAATTATCTGTAAAGACGGTTGTTTTACAGTTATCGGAGACACTAACTTATTGCTATTCTTACAAAATACTTCATTGGTTTTGAAAGACCAAATATAATAAATCAATGATCTGCACTTAATTTAGGATGTGTCTATTTAGCGTTCTAGTTGAACCTTCAATTTTACAACTTTTGATACTTTTTGATTTATGCTAGCAATGAGTTAAAATATATTCTGGTCTATCCCCTTAACATAATGAATAAAAGGAACAAAAGACATTCTTTTAGAATGTCAATATAAGTTTGTTTCCAAAATGCATGGATTCATCAACTTTTCATATATTTTTAAGGTTCTGTCTACACCCTATTCATAAAGAACAGGTATTAGGTACCACAGGTATCTTTCATTGTCTATTAAAATGTGTCTGTATGTTTATTGATGGCTCATTCACAACATCATGCAGTAATGTCAGAACTTTTATTTCATAGGTAATTGTGTCCCATTTTATCATGTTTCACTTCATTGAATAAAACATGTACCCAGTGTGAACTCTTTGCTGTTGTCCATTTCAAATATGGATTGTTTTGTGAAGGGTCTTGACTTTTTGTATCATGCGACAAGAGTGCCTATGAGAAACCATTGCACCTGGGCGCGCCGCTTGGATCTATCTCTACATTTAGTGAATTTCTTGTAAACTACTTTGAGATACATTGTTTTGGAAATTCATACAATTTTCTCAACATTGTACTCTACCGACAGGATGCGGTTTTAAATTTTATGCCATCGGTTATTTATTCTTGTTTATTCAAATGACTGCAATAACAATGATTCATTCACTAATGTTAAGGTTAATACATTTAAGATCTTGTTTAAACAACGTTTCTTCTGCAACTGGCTACTCCTCTTATATTAATGCATACACTTTTGTAAAGAAGTATATTTTTATGATAAAAAAACTTTGTAAAAGTATGATGTAAATTTTCAGTGCAATGTAAACAAATAAAAATGGATAATTGCTTTTGTAAAATGTGTATTCTTTTCAAAATTACTGGTGGCTGTTCAGGTTAGTAAAAACAGGGAACAGCCTATGTTTGTTTGGTGTCTTTAGAAGTTCCCAGAGCTGCATGTTATATATACTTTGAAAAAAGTAAAAAAAAAAAAAATACAGGTTTTTTTTCTTCTCTATATTCCATTTACAAATGTGACACTTTTGTAGATAAATCAATTTCCAATAAAACAAATACAATTAGTTCTGCTTTCAAGCAAGGGCTCACTGCTGGTGGCCCATGGAAAAGCAAAAGAGTGACATAAGGATTTTGTAAAATAAAAGCACTTTATTGAATGCTGACCATGAGGGAGAACAGAGGCATAGTCAGATTTACCTTCCCCTAAGCACTGAGGGAATGTATGGGAAGGAGCGGGAGACACTGCCAAGTGACTGCATGGCAGGAAGGGAAGAAGTGGTATTCTTTGGCTCAGTTGATGCCTCTACCTCCTTTTGTTTCTTTTCTGAGGAGCTATGCTCAGTGGGACATTATACATTTGTAATTTCAAAATAAACATCCTGCCTCATGGGCAGATTTCTTCTGCCCATGCTCCTATGGTGATGATAAGAGTTTAGCTTTTCTCTGGAAAGTTCTTAAGACATTTCTTTTTAAAATAAGCTTGGATAAGCTTTGATATTTGGATAACTAACATTTTTTTTCTAACCTGTTTCAGGATCATAAAAGCTTATCTTATGATTTTCCTTAAATATTTCATTTTAAACTACTATATGTGGACACTGTGGTGACACAAGCCTTTAATTTCAACACTTGGCAGGAAGATATCTGTGAAACTGAGACCAGCTTGGTCTACATAGCATGTACCAGGCCAGATGGGGTGACAGGAATAAATAAATGAATAAATAATTTTAAAATGTTATACAAAGTTATATAGAGAGAATTGATCATTTGAATATTTCTATTGTATATTTTTATAAAGATACTTCAGTTATCATGTTTCATAGATAAGAGCTCAATAATAACTATACACCCTCAAACAGGTATAGAATTTCCACAAATAAATGGAAAATATCAACAGTTGTACTTTAGAAAGTTATTGTTTTTAAAGTTCCAATCATTAAGTTACGTAGCTCAATTATATAAGAGAATTTTTCCCCACAAAAGACACTCTTTTAATCCAACCGTAAAATCCAGCCTTTGTAGTATTCTGTTACACTTTTGATTTAGAAATGAGTGTTTCTTCCTGTGATGCTAGTACCTTGTTAACTTTGTACACGTCACCCTTCACTCACAATGTATCCCGTATTTCACTTGTCCTTTTTTTTAATTTTCTTGTGTGCTTCTTCCATTTTTCTATTATAAAGCTTTTCTTAATGATTTTTTATTTTAGATATTTTCTGGCCTTTTAACAGTTTCATTTCAAAATTATCTTCACTTTAGTCATTTCAAAAATTCACAGCAATTTTAGTACATTTGAGTTTAAAAAACCTTGAGAGCATTGTTTTATTTTTCATATACTTAAAAAGAGTAAAGCTATGTTTCATCCAGAGTCTCTTCATAATGAAACCTGTGTAGTGATTATGAAAATGACCAATGGGTAAGGTTGATTTTACTGTATTCTTTACAAATGAGAGGAGAGAAAAGGACATAGCATAGACTTAAAATTAAGAAAGATGAGAATGCATTGTTTATCAAAGTATTGATCTTCGAATATTTATAAATGCAAGGTAAGCACAGGTAATGTATGTTAAAAAATTGTTCAGGAGGCAGCAGATAAAGGTCTGTGCCACCAAGCCTAAGAACATGAGGTTTATCCCCAGTGCCCATATAATGGAACAAGAGAATGAACTCCCATAAGTGGTCCTCTGACATTCCCCTGTGTGCTGAGGCACACATACACACATACAAATAAATAAATGCAATAGTATTTTTTAATGTGGAATTCTTCAAGCATGTCATATATTTGAAAATATTGATAATTCATACAGAGAGACACAATACAATTGTATAAAATATGGCAAATCATTCAGCCTATACTAAGTACTTAGAAAACATTACAGAAAATTCATAGCATAGAGAAATATTTAAAAATAGGGAATATATTTAATATATTTAAACGTTAGAATTCATCATGAAACTTATTCTGAAGAAAGAAATAAAAATAATGATGCAAGATCTATAAAACTCTCATTTCTAATTCACTCTCTAAAATAAATTGGAGAAAGTACATATATCAAGACTTATCCCTTAATTAAAAAAATTTAATAACTTCATGATTAGAGGAATCATTTCATTACAGCTTTAGCATATTCAGTAACCCACTCAGAGCAAGCGTACATCTCTTTCACAAGTGGCTGTAAGTTTCCAGGTTTACAGTTTAATTAATACAGTTATACAATATTGAACTTAGTATAAGCCCCATAAGACATAAAATTGAATGAGTTTTTAACCTTTAAAAAAGATCTCCATTTCATTTTAGAATATATTGTTCCTTGCAGAAAGACTCATTGTTTTTGTTACTAACACTGAGATGTTGGCACCTGCATCTCTAATCTGTATGTTTCTGATTATTACTAGTCATAATCAGTTTCACTTGGGTCCTTGGTGCCTGTGTATGTCTAAAAAGTCGGTGGGTAGATTTCAGTGGTAAAGTTTATCACCTCTACTAATTAACATGATATAAATTTCCATGCTTCCTCCT